TCATTGATAAGAATTTATGACAGTACATAAGAAAAGCACAACTGGAGCTATGAAACAAAAGTAGATCAAGTTCAACATGAGACTAATATAAAAGAAGGACGGTGAATAGATCACACCAACAATCTTTAAGGAAACTAATATTTACATATTCCTTGTGTCGAACATTCCAGTGTAACTGGACACCTTTCAATCTACTCTTGAAACAAATTAGCCTGCTTTCTATGATGCTGTGGCTAGAAGATCCAAGCAAGTAGCTACCAACCCCTAATTTCTTCTTTATTGTCTTGTTGGCCACCAAATCTGAAATAAACAAACAAAACAAGAAAATGAGAAATAGAAAAAGAAAGAAAACAAAGGCAACAAGAAGGGGCCACAAAAGAAGCGGTGGTCAACAGACAAAAGAGCACGATTGGCCAGCTCCACTATGCTCGGGAAGCCGGAGGGCTTTTGACTTTCGAGCACCAAAAAAACAAAAAAACTTAGTAAGAAGCAGGAGGTTTCTAGAGTAGAGAGAGAAAAAAGAAACACTGTGGTTAGAACCAAAGAATACTTATTTCTTACAAAATGGAAGGAAACGTATTCCTCATTTATCCCTTAGTTTGGTAAATAACTATCTTCCAAAGGAAGTTTCTTAAATTTAATTAATTTTTTAGTTTGATTAAGGAATAACTATTATCACCAGCTGCATTTGGGTCTTCGGGTTCAGTGACGTCAGGTCACATATAAATGTATTCCCTTACCCCTCAAGGCAACAGTTCGAATCTAACCTCTTGCGAATTTGTTCAAATAATAAAAAAAAAAAAACTATTATCACCAGCCAAATATGACCTTACCTCCATTTCAGATGATCAAAGGAATAAGGGGCTGGCTACAATGGGGAACTAAATAAAATAATTTGCAGACTGTACTGCCGAAAAAAATCATTCTTATTTAGCTCAACCGGAAATGTTAAACCCTATAGCGTGATCCGACAGTAGAAGCTAGTTTGTCTACCTTCGATGGTTCTTTCAATAATTGTCGATGCTCAGCAAAATCAGTCTTCATTTTTGTCCAAAAACTGCTTTTTGACTTGATAAGTTACCTTCAAAATAGGAAAAAGAATTAGAAATTAGTGAAAATCTCTCTCGCAAGTGACAAAGAAAGGCTTAAAACAAAATAGGAAGTTTTACCTTTCCTGCACTGTGTTTTATTAGAACATTACGAGTACTAGCAATCTTTTGTTTTCTGATACTGCTACTGCATATCAGAAATGAATAAAAAAAGAGAGAAAAACAACTATAAATAAATAAATTAGAACTCATAACTAGTTAAAACAATTCTTTACAGAAATTTGAACAACATGTCAACCAAAGCAGCATACCAGATTTCATCCAAATGCCTAAATTCCTGTAAATTATCAAAGTCGGACAGTATTACATGTCAGGAAAAATGTGGTCAATTAAGTTTAATTTGAAGTAAAATTTATTAAGACTGCAACTGCTATATAAATGGTCCTGGAAAGAAGTAGGAAAATCAAAAATGCCATTTTGAAAATACGAAGGGTAACCAGATAAAAGCCTTTATCATTTGATTCAAAACATCTTGGTTACTTTTGAACTCAATGTTGCTTCAGTTTATGCCTTCCTTGGCATATTCTTTCTTCTCGATTTCAAACACTGCTGCAAACACACATGAAAAGAACAACAATTAATCTTGCTCTTTCTCCAATGTCAAAGCCAAATCCATTGAAGAAACCTAACCTCATTAAAATGGTGTTGCAGCTTTTCATTTGCAAAATTGATACAGAGCTGCTGAAAGCCGTAATTGAACATCAGAAAGATCCATTTTTATTTCCTATAATTACTGTAAAAGCTTTTCTGCATAGGCAAAGTTAAGGGCATTCTCTTAAGCAGTGGTTGCATGCTGAACTTTTTCATAAGCTCCTAAATCAATTTGAGTAGAGCTGGTTAATTGAAAGCTCTTATATTGAAATCAGGGCGATTGAATGTAGGTTGCTGCTGCATATATCCTTTTCAGTTGTTGAATTACAAGTGTGATGAATTATATATTTTAAATTAGCTCTCACTAACATTTCTTTATTGATTTCATCATCCCTCAAATATCAACGGTGTGATTTGTAAATGTTGAGATGGTTGTGTTATACACACCTTGATGTGGATTATCAAGCCCAATTGATGGTATGAGTTGGCACTTTGACAAAAAAGCTAGGAGGTTTCTACACCGAATAAACAATTTCTATGTCGCTGCTCAGAAATGTATCTCAAAGAAGATAAGTAATTACATTAAAAAATATATATATATCTTAATGTTTCATTTCTTTCTTAGTTCCTCTTATTTATTTATCCTTAAAACAATGATATTATACTTAAAAAGAGAAATAAAAATAATAGAATTGCTTAAACTTTATTTATTTTACTTATGGTTGGATTGAAAAGGGCGGTTATTTAATTTATTGTTATTTAATGTATCAATATTATATGATATTATAATTTAGTATATTATTATTTAATTCGTTTTTATTTAAAAATTTATTTATA